CAAGATAAGGCTTATAACTTTTTAAAAAAGTCTTTGGGGAAGAAAAGGAAGAAGCTATGCTACTTCTAATACCTATGGTGAGCTGTGCTCCCAAGAAACTTTTCTCTTATTTGAGAAGAAATTCACCAAAATATTTCTTCCAAATTTATTTATTTAAATGGATATGACTGTCCTTCTCACTAACGCAACTCTGGGTGGCTAACATTTTTTTTAAAAAAATACAATATAAAAAGTACATATCATGACCAACTAGAAATATAAAGTGGCCATCAATTTCCTGTTTGTAAGAGGAAGCCATCTATGTACACTTGTTCTATCAGTTTGGCACTCATTTTTACTCAGATATAAACCTTATTAGGGTGAAGAGTCTTTTGTAAATGAACAAATATTTTCAAATTCAGACTTCTTCTTGTTCACAAATTGCAATCTCTGTTGCAATACTGTACAATTTCCAACCAGATGCTGAGCTGGAAAGTCCAGTCCAGCAATATTCCAGTCAAAGAGACACCAGAACATGGGTTACAGATGAAACCTCTGGAGTTTTGCTACTGTGCAGCAGCTTTCATTCACCTCATGGCCAGCAGATGTATTGGACTCAGGGCTTTTATGCAACTCTAGTAGGTTTTGGGAAAATATTCATTTTGGCACCCACCAACTTTTTCTCTGTAGCAATGTGTAATGTAATTGTTTTCTCCACTGCTTTTAGTTCATTGAGTACAGCCAAGTAAATGGAATGTGGGGAAAAGGCAAAATACTGGAATAAATAATATTACTGCCTTGAATGAGTATTACTCTACCTGATTATTTCATATATTGAATAATTCTTTGGCCCAAGACAATTGTCTCTAAAGTATTATCCCCTTAAAGATCCCTGATTGGACAACAATTCTTATGGTGTTGGAGTATCTTTAGTTAACAAATTTGGTGGGCACGAGGGTCAATATGGGTGCTATATTAGGACCAGTCCTCCCTACTCTGCTGGAACTGTTTCCAAGTAAAGACGCATCAGCTTATGCAACTTCAAAGCGTTCTTTCTTCTTCCCTTAGGAAATATCATTAACATATTGATCGGGCAATTTCGACAGCACAATGCAGGCGCTTTAATCAAATCATTTTGGAGGTACTTTGGATTTCCTCGCCGACTCACAGAGCTCCAAGAGAGAAAGAAATGGGCGTTTAAGCATCCTTTGTGGGAAAAGCCTCCCGCTCAGGGACGCCGCCTGGTTCGCACTGAAAAGCGCCCGTTTCCTCTCGACCTCTGCGGCTTCCCAGCGCTCTTCAGACGGGCGCTCCACCTCCTCTATTTCATCTGATCCGCCTCAGCGCGTTGCAGGAAAGGTTGTCCCTCCAACTCGTCGCGCTTTCCGAAGCTGGGCGCCCGTCGGCCGCTCTGGGCCACCCACTTGCCCCTTTTCTACTTCGATCCCGGAGATCCCTCTAAAGAGGCATCGCCATATCCCTCCGCCCAGCCCCAGAAGCTTGAGAAAGGGTCCGGACCCCTCGTGCAAACTCCGTCCCTTTAGACCCCCGGCCTTCTGTCCTGGAGACTCGAACGCCAGCCGCCCCGCATCCTTCCCTGCCTCGCTTCTCCAACCCCCCCTCCCCCGGCCCATTACCTCCCACTTCCACGGTCAGCCAATCGGCGTTCGCTGATCCGTGTGGGTCCCATCCTTCCTCATCCCCAAGCCGTGGTCCAGCCCAATTGTTTATTCAGCGGCGGGGCCAACGGCACGCGCCGGGCGCACGCACTTGCAACAACAAACCTTGGAAGGGGAGAGGTGGAGGGGAGAAGAAGAGGCGGAGCTCGGTCCAACGCGTGTGCGGGGTTTTCTCCTGGTCTCAGACTGTGCACGCGCGCGCGCT